ATGTTTATCCACTCGAGGGATCTTCGGGGGTGTAGCCACTCTGCATCCATGCGATGGTCTATCAAACCATTGAGTGAGATGCCACGTAGGAGTAAAATTTCTCTACTAAATTTTTTACAACTTGATCATCGACCTTTCCCGACATTTTGAGGGAAACCGATCTCGAAAAACATTTTAATTAAAATATTTTTTAAATGCCCTGTTGTTTATTTACTCGAGGGGTCTTCGGGGGTGCAGCCGTTCTGCGTCCGTGCGATGGTCTATCAAACCATTGAGTGAGACGCCACGTACAGTAAAATTTTTCTACTAAATTTTTTACAACTTGAACATCAACCTTTCCCGACATTTTGAGCGAAAATGATTTCGAAAAACATTTAAATTAAGATCTTTTTTGTAAAATGCCCTGTAGGTGTAATTAAATAACGTGAAAAATAACAAAGGGGCAATTACGCGAATAACAGAGGTACATAGAATTCGGGGATACATGTGATTGTGCATCACGACGCATTCGCAAAAATGCGTTGAAAGTATATTTAGTCTATAAAGTGCACTACCTAAAAAAGTGCACTACCAGCGGTAGTGACCGGTTCAAAGCGAGCTGTGAAGCGCAGTTACTTTGAAATGCTCTCTTCTGTGCCGCGTTTCAGTCCTAACAATTAAAAAAAAAATTTTGTTGTTATATCCGCCGGTCGTTAAATGTCACATTTCAATATTTGAAGCGGTTTACGCAAAAAAGGGCACAGCACGTTCTCCCGCCGGAATTGTTGGCTTTATGGGATGGAAATAACATCAAGTCCAATATTATCTTTGGAGTATGAAATACCTCAAAATAAAATATATTCCGTTGAAAATAATACACATCCTACGTTTGAAGCGACTCAACTAACTTTAAAAGGCAGGCACTCGAGATATCATTTCGTACTTTCTGTAAACTCTGCGTGGGATAAACGTCGTTCAGAGACATTGAATTCCGTTGTGATAATTGTAAGAGCCAATGCATGACAAAGGTTTAACAGAGCAATCGTCGCGTCTCACAGCATTCTTTAGCCAGTTATTTCGCGTAATAACTAATATTAAAGGAGCCGCCGTTCGCAATTAGTGCAGCGGGAAGATTATAGGATGTACGTAAAAGAAATCGTTTTCCTTTTTCTACGACAGCTTTGAAGATCCATGTCAGCCCAAAGACGAAGGAAATCCTGGATACCTTTAGTACATTCGAGCTTGTCTGCAGGGGAGAAGTCGTATTAAAGGTAAGGCTCTTGATATGCGGTTTTTCGTCCAATTTCGCCGTCCAATTTTATCTCGCGAACTGTCGCTTCTTTTCTCGAGGACAAGCGAAAAGAAGGGACCCGAGCGAGTCGTGCCGAGCGAGATTGTCGAGCGATCTCTCACGTGACGGGGATATTAGCAGAGGGAATGATCATTGCGCGAGCTCGTCCCAGTTGCGATCTCGTCTCGCAAATCACGACGTAAAATTCGAAATCTTTCTGCCCCCGTGCATCCTTGTCTCTTGCAAGTTAATCTTCAGATTCGCAATTTAACGAATAAACGCAATAAAACGTTCCCGTTGCGACGAGCTCCCTTGAAAAGAAAAGTGACTCGAAGTTGCGATCTCGTCTCGCAAATCGCGACGTACAATTCGAAATCTTTCTGCCCCCGTGCGCATCCTTGTCTCTTGCAAGTTAATCCTCAGGTTTGCAATTTAACGAATATACGCAATTAGACATTTCCATTGCGGCGAACTCCCTTGAAAAAGAAAAGTAACCCGAAGTTGCTCGCGGGTGAAAATCTCTCCAATTTATCGCCACGAGCTAAATGTGTTTAACATAAATTCGTCTCCCATTCTGCTAACATGGCCGGGAATGGCTCAAGGAGCGGGATCTTTTGCCCCGATTTAATTGCGACGTTACCGCTTCCAATTTTATTTGGACGCGCGCAAACGAGCGAGCAACGGTCTCTCGACGAGGGACTGGGGCTCTGCCAACTTTGACGAATCGCATTTGCAACTTCGAAGGGCCGGCGCGAGTTGCAGATTGCAGTTGTGTCCGGCGGTCAGCTTCCCACACGCGCGTTGCTCCCGTTACATATTCAGGGGTGCTCTACCATGACCGCGCGGCGTTATGCTCCCTCGCTCGGTGCACGATTCACCGCATGCGTCGGCGACGGCCGTCACGTTGTCCGCAGGTGCGATCTGTCTCCGTTTTCCCGGAAGAGAGCAATTCCCGCTGGCGACAGTCAATTTCGGCGCCGCTGAAATTACGGTCGTTCGTCCCGCGCGCGTCACCGCTGATAAAGAGAACGACGTGGCAAGGACGCGGCGTGCAGCCGCGGGATCGCGACGACGTTATCGTGAACGGGTCGGCGATAACGGGTCGGCCACCATTACAGATCCGTGCGATTATTGCGAGACGACCCCCGATCGGTTTGCCGTCGGCCGCGAGCGCGCGATCGTAAACGTTGTCGTCCGATCGATTAAGTACATCTTCTCGAATGATGGACGAAGGCGTCCGCGGAGTGATTGGATCGTTTACCGTACAATTCGGGTCAAAGTTCAGCGGTCGCGATGCGAGCGAGCGAGCCCGGAGCGCGCGCGCGCATTCGCGTAACTCCGCGGCGGTATGCAGTTAATTAGTAAGATAGCACCCCGGTGGAAACGCGCGCGGCAATTGGCGCGTGTGTGTGCGGTACCGGGATTAAAATTCAGGTGCTTCGTATATCACAGGGCTATTGTAACGCGCGCGCCTGCCCGCTTATTTGAATATTCCGCGAACGCGCCCGAGTTAAACGCGGGCGAGAGCGCTGATCGTTATCGCGTAACGAAGCGATACAATAGTTTCACCTTTGTTATTGAATCCCGCCACGGGACGACCTTAATTAAATCTCTACTACGCATCCTGAGTTCGCCGCGATTCTTAATCCGCGGCCGACTGCGAAACAGCGTAATTTCGTTGCCGCGAGCTAATCGTTTTTCACCTCTATGAATAAATTAGCCCGCGTATTTGTTCGCGGCAGATATTCGAGGGCTGCGTTAAACGGGTTTATTTTTTAGCTGCGAAGTGAATGAATTAGGGATGTATATTAGAGGAACATTGTATTTCGTCGAAAAGATTTGTAAAGCACTTATTGCAGATTTTATCTCGCGCGCCGCGCAAGTGAAGGGTCGTTGCATCGCTTTAACCCGAAATAATCCCTCGTTTTCGCTAATATTCCCAGGGCAAAGGTCCGATGACAACCTATTGGCTGATGGGCGAGAAACCGACCAACAACAATGTGCAACAGGCAAATCCCACGACGACGATCGGCCAGATATCGATTCTTCAGGATCAACCCGCCGTCACCACGCAAATTCAGATGACGCAGCCGAAGCAGCAGGAGCAGCGGGCGCTCTCGTCCGTCGGCCAACAGCACAAATTTCAGGGTCAGTCGGAGCAGCCGTATCCGAGCCAGCAATCGATTCAGTCGAGGAGTCAGGAGCCGCGGCAGCAGGGACATCCGGGTCAGCAGAGACCGCAGGAATCGCAGCACCAGGGTTTAATGGCCGGCCAACCGCGGTGCCAAGCGGCCCCGGCCAATCCAACGTCGGCCACCAGCCAGCCTCAGGGTCAGAGATCCACGACTGTTAATCCCGCCTGCGGTCTCGCCGGCGTGACCGGAAACGGCGCGCCCAAATCGGTGGTCGCGTCGCGCACCGTCGTCGTCGCGACGCCGATCGGCAACTCCTCGCCGTCCCGCAGTCGCGCGAGCGGCCCACCGAGTGCGAACAATTCCGTGCACCAGGTGTACCCGACGGCCGAGAGTATGCCCAATCATACCGAGAGTGGTCCCAACGCGCCACTCCTGCTACCCGCCGGTGCGGTCCCCAGAGTTTAGCTCTCTTAAAGGCCGTCTTCCCGGTGACGTGGTCCACCTTGCCGTTTATCGGACTCCGCGATATCCTCCGAAGGGCATCGCGGAACAGCCGAGCCGATCGATCTGCTCGGCTTCGCTGGGGAAAGCGATTGCGCTCGAAGCTGCGGGAATGTCGAGGGACGCGGAGGACGGAAGCGTATAGGAGTTTTGTCCGGCATCCCGGTCCACCGAAGCTCTGAGAATTGCTCGTTCCGGGAGTAATCGAAGTGATTTGTGAACATATCGTGGCGACAATTGTCTTCTATCGGACGAAGGTGCTCCTCTTGGATTAACTAACGTTAGTTTTCGCGGCGACGTTTCGTGATTTCTAGAAAGTGTCTGTTAAATTAGGATTCTAGGTAATTAACTAGTGGGAGGTTCGCTTTTGGTACCGTAAATCCTGACTGTTACTCGCATCGCGATAGATATAGCCGACGAGGCGGGACCGACTGCAAGTGATCTCTTCCTACAAGGTATTATGGAACCAACGTTTACCGATTAACGCAATTTAGAATAAATACGAGTGCGTATGAGCTGATCGCGCGATAAGGACGGACAATGGGGATCGTCGGATCGGACGATCCGAATCCAGAAGCGGAGAGGCAGGGGCAATTAATTATTCAGAGATACACGACCGGCGACGTACTATTGCCGTACTTGTAGTCTTCTGTACATGGACGCAGTATTATATCGGTCGTGTGTGTGTGTGCATTTTATTTATTCAAAGTGAGAACATTCGCGTTTCCAATTTTACGCGCGTACGTCTCCGATGCGATTCGTTTGCGAAGGTGCACGCAAGATGCAACGGGCTTACAATTAGTTTAGCAACCGAGTTTCTCAGATTAGCAGCATCCGACACCTGGATTCCCGCCGAGCCTTACACGCTGAAATGAATCGAGACCCGATCGCGAACGCAAGCGAATTTGTGAGGATCGTAGGGTCCATTTTATCAAAAGAAGAAGAAAATGATCGTGATCGATCGAGTCGCCTCTCTATTTTGCTATCACAATCGTTAAGAATAGAAGAGAGAGATAGATAAGAGTCGACGTTTATCGAGATTGGGACGTAAAATTCGTACGTCGTAGAGCGAGAAATTTTCTCCGACCAAAGCGCGCTACATTCTATGGAAACATTTGCGTAAGCCTCCTTCAATACGTTTTTATTTACTGTAAGATATTTTTCGCGCCCTTCCGAACTCGTCTGCGGACCGCGGATCGCGAGCAAGCATCGCGAAAGACATAGCTACATGTGTTTAACGTTGCATGCCCGACATGACAAATATGGCCGTTCGCAACGCGTCGCGAGACCCACGTAACGCAGAATTCCATACCTACACGTGTAAGGATGTTATATATAAATATACAAAAGAGAAAAAGATATATATATGTATACGCAAGTATCACGTATATGTTTACGAGATTAGATTATATATATATGTATATGGCTGCAACAAAGCAAAAGTTACCGTAGCTAACGTTAATGTTTAGGCAGCGATGCCGGCACGCGGATGCGGTCGGCGCGAAAATCGAACGGCAGCGGAGACGCACGCAAAGAGGAGGCACTGTGCGCGTTTCCGTGCCGTCCGACTTTCCACGTCGGTCGCGTCCGTGTTCGGGCATTAGGGAGTTTAGGGCCATTCGTGGCGAACGGAGGCTGGGCCTCTCGCGAAACGAGTCTGTGGCGTGTCTGAGAAACAATGCCGATTGCGGGTGCATATGTCTGTGAATGCGCGCACGAGACGCGCACACATGCGCGTATACATACACAAAACACACACACATGCACGGGTATGTGCACTTGCGGTCGCAATTGCATATCAGTGTTTAATGTATGGACGAACGATGCAGGAGGCCGATGATACTCTGCGGTCGCCCTGCCGTAAACGCACGGAGAAAAACATTTAGCTGCTGTAGCTAAAACTTAGTTAATATAGTGACAGCTAATATTTTTAGTTGCGATAGCTCAATTTTTGCTACGACAGCAAACCGTTTGCTGTCGCACCTAATATATTAGGTTAGGTTAGGTTAGGCTAACCTAATATAATAGCAAACGGTTTGCTGTCGTAGCAAAATATTGAGCTGTCACAACTAAAAATATTAGCTGTCACTATATCTAAGTTTTGGCTACAGCAGCTAAATGTTTTTCTCCGTGCGTCGTATGGTGGTACGGGGAGAGGTGTGAGACGCAAAGAGTGAAATTCTATCTGTGTCAATCTCTCTTTCAACGATGTACCGATGAATATTCCGAAAATAAAGTTTAATCGTTTTCAAGATCGTCCTATCGGTGTCACCCCCCGGCGTCCGATCGGGGAGCGGCCTTATCAGCCCGGATGCCTTACGTAAGTGCGAAGCTATTCCAAGTGTATAAAAGTAGAAACATCTTTGGCACGTGAGAGCGGCGGCTGATGCTACGTGATTCTCAAAACACGGCGTTCGCGAATATCCAATCGAGGTAAGAGCTCACGCGGGTGTATATCCCCGGGTATCCGGGTTCGCCGCAGCGGATCCCCCAGGATACTATTCCGATGCTGACCCACCTGCCGTTGGCGAGTTGATGCAGCAACGGACCGCCGGAGTCGCCCTGAAAGAACCAAAAAAACAACCGGTTCATCGGGTCAGCTGATATAATTAAAGTGGATCCGTTCTTGTTTCGGCGCCTCTCGCAGACTGTTTCAAATATTAACGGACTTCAGCTAGAAAGACGGCCTTCATTAAAGATGAACTCTCTCTCTAGCTGGCCCACGCGCACTTAACATTTCATCGTGTCGCCGCGAGCCCGGCACTTTTCCGGAATAAATAAATGATCGTCTCACCTGACAGGCGTCGCGACCCCCTTCGTAAGCACCGGCGCACAAAGTGGTATTCGGGATCAGTTGCGTGAAGCTGCGAACGCATCTCTCTTGGGGCCACACCGGTACCTCGGTTTCCAACAGCACTGTACTAGCTGGCCCTCCGTAGTATTGCGTGCCCCAGCCTAGTAAAAACGTTGACAATTTTCAAATTATGAGAACAGTTTTCACTACCTTCGCGGTTATCCATTCGGCAGAGTCAGCGGAACTGATGTTCCGTGATAACTTTACACTATTTAAACAAAATGTTTCCAGACAGCAATGAAAATAAATAAATAATATCTTAATTAAATCTTACTAATGGCGGCGTTGAAGAATTAAATAAACACGTTAAATGTTTTAATCAGTTTTGTGACAGTTAAAAAACCCGGTTGTGTATAAATGACGAGCGTAAATAGAAAAACTGATATTATTTCGCTTTTAATTTTTAGAGACACTTGAAAACTAACATAGTCATCGGCAATGAACCGTCTCGCAAGAAGGGAAGTGACTTGTTTCCCCACTCCAGCCGATCGACGAATTATACAACAAGTGGGGGAACGACAAACGATTTATTGCCGGTCAGTGCACGTAAAGACCGGCTAAGGAAAAAATAACTGAAATTAAAATGTTGCCGTATAAATAGTAGGAGCATCTACATTGTTTTGTCTTGCAACATTCATTAAGATCCGGTTTCACCAAACGTTGTTTAACTTTAAACTTAGCTTAATCTCTTCTCTGTCTCTTTCCAACTGATGCTTTAGAAAGAGACAGACGTGAATTCAACTGAGATTAAACCTTTTGGTGAAACCGGGCACAAGTTTGCTACACAAAACGCATATAGACTCCACTACTTATCAAACCAATGCAGGTATGATAATCGCAGATATAGCTGTCTGTATAGGTCGTACTAATTAAACATGTGGTAACCATATTGGTCTCTCCGTGTGTATGTATGAAATTTGTGGCGATCGCGGCGCAGAGAGGTAAGCGCTGTTTTAGTGAGCCCAAGAGCCGACTAGAGATCATCGATCTTCGTTCGATCGCCACTTCTCGGGAGGAAGAGGCGACCCACCGAGAGCACATTTGCCTCCTCGTAAAATTGTAGGTCCCGTATATCTCGGATATATGCAGAGGGATCACGACGCTCGAAATCGAGCAAAGGTAGAGATGTATGGGATTTATTTGCACTGACCAGTAACGACGGCGTTCTTATTCTCAAACGATTGTTGAACGGGCGGTAGGCAGATGGGCCAGATGTAGCTGTTAAATGCGGTGGGCCGGTTGATCTTGATGATGGCGATGTCGTGCTCGTAGGTGCTCAACTTGAAATCCCTGTGTATCCGTATCTCCGACACCGCGAAGTCCAACGTCCGCGTCTCCTCGGACGTGGTAAAATCGTACTCGCCGAGTCTCACCGTGATGTCACGTGGTTTGTACCTGTAAAAATACGACGGGATAACTGTAACTCATTCCTATGGTCTAACTGTTCATTTCGTGGTTACGGCAAACGGGCAAAGCGGGCGTGTGTCGCGCGTTAGAGCCACTCGTGCGCGTGTATCCCGAAATGAAATACGTCCGAGGACGTTGGCGATTTCAGGTTGAGCCTCGTATTTTTGCAGGCACCAGCCGCGCGACATCGTCGCAGCGAGGCTCGACGGGCGCGATTTCACTACGTTCGCGGAGACGCGGACGTTGGATTTCGTGGTGTCGGAGATACGGATACGCAGGAGTTTCAAGCTGAGCACCTACGAGCACGACATAGCTGTCAATCAATCGACCCACCGTATTTTATATCTCGCCCATCTGCCACCCGCCCATTCATATACATACGTTCCTTTATTGTAACCAGTTGTCACGATTCTTCTCTCTTTTTACGCACTCGCAATCTTTACATTTTGTTTCAGCTTACATTAAAATAACGCGCAGCGTGAAGTTTTGTTGATTCATATGTATGAGAAAAAATTGTTGTGATGAAGAATTTCAACCTAATATCTTGTAACTACAAAGCAATTTGAAAACCATTAAGCGCTTGATGATCAAGATATTAAGAGTTTATTTAATCTTTGCAAGGGTCGTTAAAAATCCTGGTGAACATTTAAGTATTCGCTGTTATATCATAAAAGAACGGGATGTAATTACTCGATAGGTTTTACCTGTAAACGCAGTGCGCGGCGGTAAGCACGTGTCTGTCAGTGATCAATACCCCTCCGCAATACTGAATCGCGCCTTGTCTGAGAAGAGCTGCCATCCACGGCCACTCTTGAGGGTCGGCCGGTTGGCCACCCGCGATTCTGATCCTCATTTTCGTGGTTGTGCCGCATCCTCTGGGTTTTCGTGGTCCCCCCGTCTCTTGCTTGGCCGACGTCGCATCCTTCCCCAAATTCGCATCGCCGTTCGCTGCCGTGCTAGCAGATGGCCCGTTCTCGTCCGCGTTCTCGCGGCTTTCGTCCAGCTCTCCCTCGATGTCGAAATCGACATCGTCGAGACCTGCGAGAAAAGAATTTCAAGTATGCACACGTGGCACTCTCGCTCGCTGAGCGGACACTCGATACCGCGAGAGACATCGATGTTTATCACGAAAGCACACGTGTATAGCGCTTTCATCGAGAAGCGTTAAGTTAGCTGGTAAAAACGTTCGTGCACATATTTATCGCAAGTTTCGTGCAAATATATAAGAATGTATTGTACCGGCAAAACGGTTCATGTAAGTAAAAAAGGGCGATTTTCTCAATCGTGCTATGACGTGAAAATAATTCTTTGATACCTAAATAATTTAATGGAATAATATAATTAAAATGATGTCGTTTTCAAACAGATAATTAAAATTTATACAAACTCGCTATCGCCGGTAATATGCCGGCTAATTCGTCGTAGAATATTTTTTTCGTGCGCGTTTCCCCAACGCTATCCGGACAGCACACGCCGACGTACCTGCGACGAAAGAAACATTAATAATAGGAACAATCGAGGCGTGGAACATGACGTGAGCTTACGTGTTTTCAATTATGCACATATAATCCATAAATTGCGGAAAGTACGTGCGGTTCGCCGAAGGGCATGCGCTCAAATGTTTGCAGTGGCCGCCTCGATTGCCCGGCGCGGTGCAAGCTTGATATTTTTTCTAGAGAGAAAGAGCAAATTCCTAAAACGCCTGCTACAACGGTTCGATTTTCAAAACTATTTGTAGATAACGTGGCGCACGATACCTGCCGAGAAATCTTGGGTCCTCTTTGGAGAAACCGTACGTCGCGAGAGTACGAATGGGAAGTATTTCCCGGAAATTGAAACATTTCCGTATGAAGTGCCCGCCATTCCTGACTCGCCTGATCCCCAAGTACCGCAGGCTCTAAGAAATGAACAAGATGCATGCGCGTGCTTCCGTGTGTGCGAGCACGTGTGTAACATGTGTATCGATATTTAGAAAGGACCATTGGAAGACACAACGTCTGGATGATACACTATCGTAATATGATTTAGCTATTTCCGGCGGAAAAGCGTCTGTCTGTCCCGAGACTTTGCCAAACACAAAAGTGTATCTCCAACATCTGCGATTTATTACGCTTGATGCGCTCGCATTTGTTAAATGTGTTGAAAAATATTGTGAAACGCGCATTCTCATGCAATATGACACAAATTCTACAAGTATCTTATCAGAAATAGTCTCGTTGTGCTTTAGTTTATAAAACAGATATATTTGTCGAACGTACGATCTGAATCATCATAAAATCTACTTTCTTCCTTCATCACAAATTTAATAGTTTATTCTAAACTAAAGAAAAACAATCTTTTTTTTAATTGACTTGCATCTTTGTTAATTGTATCAAAACGCACGAATATTAATTCAAAGTTTAAATTAAAATTAAAAATTGTTAATTAAAATTAATAAATTCAATTAATCCTATTGTAGTAATTTTTTCCATGGCGCATACACTTGCGGCGTAGCAAAATTCATTAACATTATTTAATATAAAACAATGCTCACCCGTGGTGCTTTGAAAATCGAAGGGGAGACATCGGCAGCACTGAAGGGCGCACAATAAAGGGAATAACACAAGTCGGTAGACACTAATGTGCGCCATTTTAATTAACATCGGCGCACCGGCTCTCGTTATATGACAAGTCACGGCAACGCGACGACACGGCTTTTTAGTCGACAGCCAGAGAACAGACAATGACTCCGAAATATGGAAAACCGTCACTTATATACACACGCCTGTGCTGTACGGAACCACGCAAACGCACCTTTACGCTGGACGTCATCCATTAGGCGCTCGCGTGACACGCACTGTTTCTTATAATTGAACAAGAACCATTTAATGAAAAATATAGATACACTGATTATTATAGTATTTTCACTGCTACATTTGAGACGCGTAGCTACTTAAATATTTCGCACTGCATTAATTTATACGAGAAAAGCAATTGCTTGTTTGAGGAAAGAAATGGGACGCGTGCGAGGAAAATATTTGTAAAACCTTGCAAGTTTCAATAAAGTCCCTACTGTAATGTAATTTGAACAATGGATACGTCTTCGACATTGTTTGCTATTGTTGAGCGATATTTCACGCTCTGATTTAATGCCGTGTCAAATTGTTGAAGCACTAAAGTACTTTACGCTGCATTGTGACGATTCAACGGCGACTCTACGCCGCTCCTTCAGTCCCTGATCATTCAATGAACCTATTAACGCCGCATAATTGACGCAAAGGCTAAGGCCACGGATCGGGAGCCATTTCGTCCAAGTGGAGAAGCGAGGCGGCAGAATTACGCGTGACCTGTCCGGACAAAGGTTAATTCATGCGAATACTCGGCGCATACGCTTGTCGAAGCGAGAAGTAATGGACGGCCGGTAACTTGAGAAATATTCGATTCCGTTCGACGTTTCATTAAACCGCCGGACGCCGCAGACTCCGCAGCGCGACGGGATCTCGCCGCCGGTCCGGGAGCTGGAGAAGGATAGCGGGACCACGGGTCCATCCCGAGAGAAAAGCGGAGAGAAGCGGGAACGTGGCGAGGATGGGACGAGGGGGGTCGCGGGAGAGAACGGGGGGGGGGACGGCGCTCTCTCTTTACCGAGAGTACCTTGGCGGACAAATCCAGCGGTCTTCCGTCTCCGTCTCTAAATGCGATACTCGAGAAAACGGACATCACCCACATACCTGTTCAGGCCATTGGCTTCGCCGTGCCACGCGGCCGTACGCACGCACGCACGCACGTACGCGCGCACGTATCGACATGCGAGACGTGCGCACATAAACGTCACTTGAGAAGCGAACGGCGATTTGTATAACTTGGAGTATTTACCGAACGGTTAGACACGCGTGGATATTATTCAACATTTAGATAAAATTGTTTTCGTACCGCGAATTTACCTCGATTCTTACCTCCGCTTGCATTGTGCGCACATACTTCAGTGTTTCTTATGTTATTCAGGTGTATAAATAAAATTTTAATATCTTCTGTTTAATGGAGCATTCTAAAGGTAGAGATACGGACCACTTGAGGATTTCTCAACCGATATCCATAGCATTTCGCCGAAGGGGACGCGACTCGGTTGCGAGCGAGAGAAGCGCGCCTCGGCATTTTACGCATGTCGGCTACCTATTTATGCACGCGTCATTGATCGCCCCGAATGAAACGTAACTCGAAGTCAACCGTGCCGATAACGGGTCACGCTCGTTCTACGTCCTTTCTCTTTTTTTCCCCCCTTTTTAGATAAGACACGCGAATCCCCAATTCAGTGAAACGCGCATATAAAAGGCAATTCAGGAGCCAAGCTGGAACCGAAAACATACGCCGAGAAATTTAATTACTTCGGTCTGCATAAAATTTAATTATTCTTTCTAAAGAAGCGGTAGAATTAGATTTGTCGACATTATAGCGACAAATTAACGACATAAAACTCGGACGAAGCGTTTTGTTCGCGAACGAGAGAAAGAGGTGTAATTAAATTCGTAATTCTCTCAGAAAAATAACGTCCGCGTTTCGCACTTGGGCGATAAAGCGCCTAATAATACAGTTCTCCAACGTTGGAAACGCGCGTTCTCCCTGTGTTCGTTGCATGTTCAACTGCACAAAGGAATATGCGCATCGTATGCACATCGAGTCTCCGAGTCTTCGAGTTTCCGGGTGCTTAACGCATTGTACGTTTAACAGTAAATTCGTCATCTGCGTCCCAGAATCTGTCTTGGGCGCTGCACCAAAAGGGACGTTGTTGCTCGAGCACGGCCCTTTGTGACAGAAAACACTGCGCATTTCGTCAGGGATCGTGTAAGGTTCGCGTGCAAACAAAATTGACTCGCCGCGAAACGACTTTACGTGGAAAGGAGAGCACCGCGAGTTTTCGGGCCGCTCACCATGCGCAAACGAGCACGAAACTGAATATTTTTATAGAGGATTGTGCGTTTGCGAAATTAAAAAGAATCGAAGAAGAAAAGGGGAAGGAAAATTTACATGAACGTTCGGAATTACGCGTCGGTAAGAAATTGTCATTATTCGACGCGTTGTACCTCGAGATCTTCCGCGCGAGATCGGGGGCGCGAGATTTCCGTGCTGATCTACTCGCGAGTAAGATTAATTTGACGTTGCACCGGCGAGTCTTTGCGTTCATAATTTTGGAAGAAGACGGATGTGTCATACATAAAGTAATGCGCGCGCTCGTAATATGATCATGCCGAGAAGTTTTAGGATCCGTTTTGCTCTTGTTACCGTATTGCGCGCCGTTATTATTCTCCATCGATACCTTCGTGAAGGAAAGCTGCAATGAAAGGATCGAGGCAATGATTTACGAGCACGGGACGACTATGTCAGCTATAATCGTTCAAACTCGGGCAGGTGTCAATGGACATGTTTAAAATAACACGCGGGGAAGTTAGCGCGATGACGATCCAATTCCTCGGAGTCACGTGTCAACTCCACGATCTTTCTTCGAAGATATTCGATCGTGAGATACGTTTACGTTGCTTGATAGCTATCGTAAGAAGAAACGAGAGACGCAAAGTGCGCGCATGTCTCTGGAGTGACGGAATAAAAGCACGGGAGAGAGACGGAACGGAATCCGGAGAGATCGCGATTTGGGGGCAAAAGCCCGGGGCATCGCCATTTAAGGTACCCGTAAATATCCCTTTTCTGCTCCGCGCGTCTCTGGCATGCATAATCACGAGATATTTCGCACGCCGCTATCTGTCCACTAAAAAACGCTTTTTTTTCTCTCTATGCGATGTATTTTCGGGGACTCGACAATCGTAAGCCTCGCATAACTTCGTCGCTTCATTACGGGCGAATTATCTAATTAATCTGACATAACATAACTGCAAGCGCAACGTTTACTCTCATAATGTTTCTGCAATGGCTTCTCGGTGGAATCGCTCGCTTATTTGTCTCAATTTCGTTCTATTGTAATATTGCGAGGCACGCGAGACTCACGTGGCGCGGCCTATCCGCTGCACATTAACGGTCAGCTAAGCGAAACTAATTACGCCGAAATAAACACTGCTTGCGTGAATTTACTTGGGGTATAATCCCATCCTGATTGACTCGCTCCAAGTGCAGCTAGCATCTCGCGACAATATATAAATTCTTAAAAATATACAACGCTCAACTACAAACTACGCGCGCGAAGCGTGCGTTTTGTCATTTCTAGTAAATTATAAAAGTGAGGAAACAATATACATATTACACACATAATTGTATCAATATTTTAAAATAATATTGCTACAACATTATTAAAGTAATATTGTAAAATAATCTCTGCAATGTCTATGTAACATTACACTGCAATATGCAATGTCGTTGCAAGCTTGTGTGTTGTATGGGAATTGACATAAAGTGTAGATATCATATTTTGATAACCGCACGATAATTGTCACTTTTATACGCGTACTCACAACTCATGTTATTTTTACTTAAAAATCAAATTGCTGACGAACATAAAACACGGTTCATACATAAAGAGTATACATCAAACCTTTACGAGAAATTAGAAATAGTCCATCTTCGTTAATGCGAAAGACAGGGAACAGGGAGTTCCTAGGAATCACCGTACGCATTCGGAGATTAAAGGGCAGGGCGGGAGATGGAATAATAACCGAGAAAGGAAAGCACGCGCTAACGAGATTTGGGTTTCTACCTGTCACGTCCCTTCGATTTTAATGGTAACTAAAGCCGAACTAAAACCGGCGGCTAACAAGGCGTGAGATCGTTCTAAGTTATATCTGAAAAGAAACGCTGTCACGCGGTTTGAAAGAATAATTGTTTACGACTGCCTATAATTGCTGCCTAACTTTAATTAGAAACCATCCTGAGTTGCAAAAATTGCTGCAAAAAATTATGATGTAGAGGGACAAATAGTTTACCGTGATGCACTTTAAATAAATGATGCAAGACAGAAATAGAAAAATGTCAAATCCATAACGCTTTCATTTGCTTTAAGCCGATCATCTGCTTTTTATTGCAGATAATAAAAAATGCAATTAAGACTATATTAGAGGGTGAATATACTTCACGCGTAATAAATCCGAGGAAAATTAATTATGTAGGAAAATGACTGTTCTTCTTGCTTCCAAATACCCTCGAATCAAAGAGTCAAATCGTAAATAACTTTCGTTTACAGCCGTGGATTACTTTCAACGATAGAATTCACCTGCGGTAGCTTATAAAAGAACGACGCGAAAGACTAGGTAAATGCACTGCGAGTACGAAATGTCGCTTAAATGTAGAATGTCCGAAAATAAGAGGTCATAAAGAAATAAAGCCATAAGCCATAAAATCGGTGTCGCCCGGCGAATGTTCTACTACTCCGGAGGTTTATAACTCCATTGCACCGTCGTAGATAAGGAAATACCTAGCGGAAAGTGACGACGCCCTTTATCGTCCGCCAGAAAAAGAAAACGGTGTCTCCCCCGCGCAGACCCATCCATTTCCGCGTAGGATATTGCAGGAATTTAACAATTTCTCCTACGTTATTTTCGCCTTCCGATACTCGGATATGCCCGTGGTATGCCGGTTTAAGACCTTTTCATGCTTTAGAAAGTTCTATATTTCACATTCACCCCGGAATTAAATGTGCCAGAATGCACGACTTGAAATGTATAATACCAGACCGTCGAAAAATATTTTAGAAAGGATCTTTCTCCAATTCTGCTTCTGACATTATTTTATTACGCGATT